ACAATCAGTAGTGACAAACGAAACAACTTCTGCTCTTCTTCCCTCACTGACCTAATATTTGATCACCTCGATGTGCTTAGACTACTGCTCTCCACTACCTCTTTCTTGGACCAGCCAAACTTTTATGCCTGCAAACTATACAAGAACACAGATGCGCTTGGCAATTTCTTCGAGTGGCTCGCTTTCACATCAACGTGCCAAGCAACCGTCAAGTCTTTCGATTGGTCTAGCCACTCAGGACTGCGCCGAGGTTAGAGGCCTAAACCTAAACTAAACTCAGGCTCAGTTTCGTAGCTTCAGTAGTAAAGGTGAGCAGTTGTCGCGTCCTCGAAAGTGCGCGACAATGGCGCTAGGGCTTCACAAAATGCACTTTTGGAGACTAACCTTAACCTATAGACCCTTCTTTGTCAGCTTATTTCCGCGCTCGATGAGTTTCGATGTAGATAACTTCTATTTCGGAAAACGAGAAGAGCGTCGAGTGCAGACCACACACCACAAGTGACGACGGCCAAGGAAAAATGGCTTTTTTCTTTTTCTTGGCCGTCGTCACTTGTGGTGTGTGGTCTGCACTCGACGCTCTTCTCGTTCTCCGAAATAGAGGGTACTAACATCATCAATGTCAACGCTTTGCTCCGCCTCTCCACACTCTTTGACCGCAAACGGCAAACCCTCACTACCAACCACAATAGGGTGACCAAGAGCCCCCTACCACCACGCCTTGTTAGGTGACTAGGGAGCGCGGAAATGCCATGTCTCGTCCTCTCGGTGGTTTGGTTTTCCTTCGCGCAAGCAGAATTCCCCCGCTTCCGGCATAAAAACCGCATCATTCTATTTTCCCCATAAGTCGTTGTGAGACCCATCATTCACAACAACAACAACGAACTCAACGGGAAAAAAATGAATAATAAAAAACGCCAAACCAAATTAATGTTATGATTGATATGGAAATACTGCTCGTTCAGAGTCGCACCGTAGAACTGCCAAATATTGTCGGCAAGGGACTCTTTTCATGGTTTGGAGTTTCCCATTTATGGTGGACAACATTTTTTGTTGTCTGGACCCCGATCTATTGCACTAAAATTTTCTCTTTCTCCGAGCTCAGAAGGTAGAGTCAAAGTCCTTCCCACGACGCGTAACCTTATATGTGGCTCGCCCAGCACTTATTCGTTCCATGCACCGCCTAGAGCGCTTTCGTAGGGTCGTCCGACCGTAACGATAGCACAGCATTGAATACGTATCAATCATCCGATCGTCGGATGACCGATACGTACTTAATGCTGTGCGATCGTCACGATTGTTGTGATCGAATGACCGACCTGAAGTGTGACCGAGGAATGTTTACTGAGTGTGGTTCTCCGAACGTTCTTTTCAAGAAACCTGTATATTTGCCACTTAGCGAGGACATTTGTACGGCCCGCAGTGATACACAGCTATGAGACGCGTCATGCGGAGACATGTTACAAGAAGATTGGGTGAGAGAGAGACGTGCTTGATCTAATTGAAGGAGTTGATACGCACCCTCAGCTTTTTATGGCAAAATCTCACTTTGCATATGAGAAGTTGATCGAATGCTAACCCAACAGATGGAATGATCCAAAACGGCCTCGATTTCCATGCAGTGAAAAAAGAAACATTTGCCATCGCATTTCAAGCATCGAACGGGTTCGCAAAAATGCTGCCCAAGTTATGCGCAGGATTCAAATGAGATCGCAATTGACAGTGCTTAGCCTTGAAGTAAGCTTTTCGGGAAACAAGGTTCAGCACATATCTCTCGAAAAGGTCAGAATTTCATCGCGAAGAATGTATACAGCACGTTTTGATGGACATTGGCACAATTCAACTTTAAAACTTTTGCAAAGTCCAGGTAATCCAAGTACCGCATTACTCCTGCGCCGGCAATCATCCCGAGTGGCAATACTACAATGGGTTTGAGATATATGATTTATTTCGGACATATTAACAACAACAAAATATAATTTCTTAAGCCAACTGAACATCAATGTATACAGTGATCAACCAAGAACTTTGCGTACAAAGCATCATAGAAAAATGACAAACCTACTTATACATACATCTACCTAACATCAACGAATACGGCACTCAGTTTTGCGCTTTCATTTGGAGCTTTTTCAACCGGTTCTGAAGACTGTCCCGCAACAAAACATTCAGCAACGACGACGAATTGTCGGGCTTTGCACCCATCACAGGTGGGAATGGATTTCCTGAAGCTCTCTATGCAATATTCGGATCTTTTGAGAAAGTCAAAAAAGTCGTCATTCGAAAAAAAAACGAGAAGAATTAATCGAAAGTACCATCAATTTCTAAAACGGCAATATCGTATCGCCTCCACCGTTCTATTCGGCCATGTATGTGCTGTTGCAAGCGCTGTGTAGGAAGACGATATATTGAAGTGAAAGGTCCTTCGCGGTTAACGAAGCGAGGTACAATCACCTGTAGAAATTCTTATCAGTTTATATTTACGAGTAATACTTCAACGCTTAACTGCATGACACTACAGAAGGGTGAAAAGAAACCAAAACATAGAACGGAGCTTTACTTTATGCATTTTTTCGATGAGATCCGCTTCAAGCAACCACCACTCCATCATCTCCGTTGTGTACTCATCATGTTCACCCCTTTCGACTCCAAGTTGAATCAACTAGAAAAATTAGAATTAAAGAAGAAATTCATCAATGTTGTAATTTTGCACGCTTGCTTCATCACCAGCCCCCATTCGCGCTTTTCATAGAGCGAAGTAGTTTGGATCTATTGGGTTGTCTCATACTGTCGCATTTCTATTCAATTTCAAATTCCTTCCGT